CTGGTATACATAAACAGCATTTTTTGTTTTTACAGCACAACCTATTACCAGAAATCCAGTTATAGGTGAAGTTTTTGGTATCAGATCGTCTACTGATAACTCATTTAACAGGGGTGTTGTCGAAGAAAAGTTGAACGAAAATCAGTACAAAGTAGTTTTATTTGATTTAGGCATTAAAGATATTGTGTCAGCAAATAGTTTTGTTGAAATTCCAGAACACTTACAACAGGTAAATCTTTTTTTTTCTAACTGATGTTTGTTTAGGTTAAAGAAATAGTTGATTGCTGTTAATTATACGTCTTGGTAAATGTTTGTGTAAATCAAAATATGACTTATAAATATTGTACCTAACTGAAAAAAAATAACTTTTTTTTTACTAAGATAATTAATTTAATTTTCTATCTTAACTTTAAACTTATCTAGTTTTATTTGGTTTTAATGTACAGCTTTCATAGGCTAATAAATTGTCACATTTTTCCCTTCCCCACTAAATGCGTTTTACCACTTATACCTTTTTACCTTTTATATAAATAAGGTACCTTATGACCTGACAATTGTAGAAATATGTAAAATGTATACTAGTTAGTATATTATACTGAAATGTTGAAAAAAATTCTTATATTTCCAAATTCATGCTAATAAGTGATAATTTTAGAAACAATCTGCATAATATATAAAATCTAGACACGTGGTAGCGTGTCAAGCCAAGTTCTAGCTGACAGAACTGGCGTGCAGCACAACCAAACACGCAATATTACACGAACCATTTGGAGCCAATTTTGACCCCCTCATAACTCAAAATATATTCCACATAAACATGTCAAATTTGGCTCATATATTCAGACTTACGAGATACATATGTGCTCCAAATTTCATAAACACACCTCAAACTATTATTTAGATATTAACGTCCCAAAATCGTCATTTTTATTGGTTATTTATATTTGAATTTTCTATACACGATAACATTTTCAAAATATTTTGATTTATTTTGAACTGTTTAGGGACATTTTCATTTTTCATTTTTTTTAGTTTTTTTTCTAGAAATATCAATAAAATTTTATTTGTTGGTTAAAAAACTTGAAAATTTAATAGATGGCTCCTAGTATATTGTTTCAAAGGCAGATGCAAAATATTAAAAATCGTTAGTCACAGTTTTTTTTTTATAAGCATTTAAAGTTCAAAAATTGACAAAATATGGAAAAATCACAAAAATTAGCAAATTATTTTGAGTTAAGAATTCGTAAAAATTTTTCTTTTAAATCTAAGATTTGAAAATGTAATACAAGATTACTCATAAGTTTGTCTACCTTTATCAATAAAAAAATTTCTACCGGACAGTCAAATTAAATTTTTATGAGCGTTTGAAATTCAAATTTTTACAACATTGGATGTTCACTCGATTTCCTTATTTTGTTGTTATTCATAAGCGAATAACTATTGATTTATGAAAATTTCACTGAATGTTTATATTAGCATTTCCTATACACCATACAATTTTGAAAATATTTTGACTCTCTTTGAGCTGTTAACGGATATTTTGATTTTTCAATTTTGTTAGTTTTTTTTTCAATGAATATCAATTAAGTTTTATCTGTTTGGCCAAAAAGTGTAAAAATTTTATACAAGGCTCCTGATATATTGTTACAATATCAGTTGAAAAATATTAAAAATACATAGGCACAATTTTTTTTTATAAGCATTTAAACATCGAATTTTGACAGAATTTTTCAAAATCTCGAAAATTATTAATCATCGTAATTAATAAATTATAAAATGTTCAGTTTTTATAGCTAAGGATTGAAAATTTAAAACAAGATTCCACGTAAGTAATTAATTCTCTTACCGAAAAATCTAAAAAATATACAATCACAGTTTATTTTTATAGTCATTTTATGTTCAAATTTGGACGAAATTACATATTAAAAAACCTAGTTATTTTGTTGTGATTATATAATATTATTCGTGGGTACCTACTTGAAACTTCTAAAGTGTACTATTATATATCTATGATAGTATCAGGGTTTGTTATTGATGTTGATGTATAACGTGTTATAAGTACCTAATGGATATTGTGATAATGTGATATATATTTATATCGAAAACTGTGCATGTGTATTTTTAATATTTTTCAACTACTATAATAACAATATATCAGGTGCCTTATATTACTTTAACAAAGTCGCTACATGAGAAATCGAGTGAATACTCAATCTTGTAAAAATATGAACTTCAAACGCTCTTGAAAATTTGACTTTCCGGTAGACATATTTTTTGTTGATAAAGGTAGACAAACTTATGAGGAACCTTGTATACATTTTCAAATCTTGGATTTAAATAGAAAAAAAAGGTGCTCTGCTGTACAGTAGGTTACAAGTGGGTCACTGTATAATGGATGGTATTAAATTTGAATTCAATGATATAATATCATTGTATAAGAAAAACGATTCTGAGCTTAGACGGTATGTCAGTCTAGGTAAAAAACATATAATTATACACAAATCTATGGTATTAAAAAAAAAAATTGTCCTATATTATATACCTATAATGAATTCCAAATTAATCATATCACAATATCCATTAGGTATTTATAACGCGTTTTACATCAATAACAAACCATGATGCTATCATAGTTATATAATAGTATACTTTAAAAGTTTCAAGTATCCACGAATAATAGGTATTATACAATCACAACAAAATAACTTAAATAGTTACTCTAGGTTTTTTAATATGTAATTTTTTCCAAATTTGAACTTAAGATGACTATATAAATAAACTGTTTATGTATTTTTTTAGATTTTTTGGTAACAGAGTTAACATACGTGGAATCTTGTTTTAAATTTTCAATCCTTCGACATAAAAGTTTAACATTTTATACATTTTTAACTACAAAATAATTATTCAATTTTAAATTTGATAAATTTTGTCAAAATTCGATCTTTAAATGCTTATAAAAAAAAAATGTGACTGTGTATTTTTAATATTTTTAACTGCTATTGTAACAATATATCAGGAGCCTTGTTTTACATTTTTACACTTTTTGGCCCAATAGATAAAACTATAAACCCAATAAATTGATATTTATAGAAAAAAAAAATAAAAAAATTGAAAACTGTGAATGATCAAAAAGAGTCAATATATTTTGAAAATGTTATCGTGTATATAAAATGCAAATATAAACAACCAGTGAAAATTTAATGTATCTACTGTCATTTGTTTCAAAGATACACCAAAAACCAAAGTCGATTTTGCGTAAAAATTCCAGTTTTCCTTAACTTTTTTTTTTTTTTTTTGGCGCTTTGAAAATTACTGAGAATTTCAAATTTTGACCTCCTCCAGCACCAACAATATTCACTTTCCCATCGAACAATTTACTGAAGTTGAAAATCGAAGCATTATTTCAACTACTTATCGTGTACAAAGGCACAAAAAAAAAATAATAATAAAAAAAAAATAACCCATCATTATAAAATCAATGCAATACATTCATCGTTCCACTCAGAATCTAAAATTTTTATTAATTTCTTACTCACTTTCTTACTTCATGAACTTTACGTATTTTGTCAATATTTAATCTTTAAATGCTTATAAAAAAAAATTTGTAAACTGAATTTTTAATATTTTTCATCCGTCTTTAAAACAACATATTAGGAGACATTTTTAAGCTTTTTTACCCAGCAAATAAAATTGTATTGATATTTATAGGATAAAAAACTTAACAAATTGGAAACTGAAAATGTCCGTAAACAGTTCTAAAAGTATAAAAAAGTTTTTAGTATAAAAAATGCTAATATAAACATTCAGTCAAAGTGTCGTGTATTTACAGTCATTTGTTCTGGAGTTACACCAAAAACAGTAAAAATTCCTGTTTTTCCTTAATTATTCTCTTTATTTCACATTGCTTTTGAAAACTACTTTTTACTTTTGACCCTCTAAATTACCAACTATATTCACTTTTCTATGCATGAACAGTGCACACCGCCATGGAGTAGCTATTTTTTGTTGTTGTTGAGTTTTTGAGTTTTCTTTATTATTTATTTTTATTTTATTCTTTCAAAAAGGCAATGGGCCCCACTGAACAGGTTCGTGTGGGGTAGAATTATATTGTTCTTAAACTTGTTTTAAATGGAAAATCCGTCTTTGCTAGTTCAGATCCTCTTGACGCACCGTGTATTCAAAGAATATAAAATATGAACAATAAACCTCTCGGTTTATTTTCTTTTAAATCGTTACCGGTGTATAAAAATTAAATAACACAGGATGTACTGTCGTTTTTTTCATGTTAACGAATAGAAAAAAAATGCTTTACAGTGATGTTGGGGGGGGGGGGCGAGTTTTAAATTGAGGGAATAAATTGCGTGTAGTTTTAATGATTGTGAATAATTTAGTATACAGAATAACTGCTATTATTTTCTTGGGTAAAAAATGCCGTGACAATTATAATATGCTCATGAGTTATGATTATAAATGATTTTTATATTTTATACGAATCTTGATGCATAGGTACACCAGGAATAACTATCGAATTCAATTGAATAAGCGATTTGATTTTTATTCACCACTCACATGTTTTATACAATTAAAATATGTTTCACTACACAAAATATAACATAAAAAGTGAAATTATTATGAGTTATGCTTATGACCCTTGGTAGTAATGTTGACTTTTTGAATATGGACATTCAAATAATTGTGACCAGTTAGCTTGAATATACGCTTAAAAATTATATTTTTATCGTTTCAAATGGTTAATAATATTGATGTCTAATATTTTCATGTATTAATTTTCATTTTGTTTTTATAGGGGTGTACATAATCTTCTTCCACTTAATTTGTTTTGTTCATCCCTTATAAAAATATGACATAATTATACATATTTATTGCTTACTAATTCGTTGTGATCATTATTAATAAACGTCGTTTTATTTTAGGTTCCTCGTACTATTTATTCGATACGTCTCAAAGATATTGATTCCGGAATTCTTAACTCTCAAGCAATGTCTTATGTCAATATGCTTTGCGAAAATTTGCCATTAATTATTGTATGTATTTTTCTATCATAATATGGATGTGATGATTTATTTTTATGAAATATTGTTCAATATTTTATATTTTAGGAATTCGACGAGAAAAGTCCAAATGGATTAAATGCTGTGACTTTAACTACTATCAAAACTCAACAAAATGTTAACAATCATCTGAAAAAGCTTTTGACTCAAAAAGAAAGAGGTTAAACCACATAAACTTAATCATTAACACCACTAACTATCAAATATACACGATATAGTCATATAATTTAATAAACTTTAAAGAAATATGTAAAATAAAGCGACCCCACTGTGTTATGAGCTCAATTAATTATATATATTTTACTGCTTAGTTATTTAATATGAAATGTTTATTATTTAGATTCGCCAGAAACAGTACAGATGTTGAGCAAAGGAGATATTGTTTATATTTCAACGTTTGTGGATTTACACGCTATTTACGTCAGACGTATTAACAACGGCACAGATAAATTTAAATCATTCTTGGAGAATTTTTCATCTTCCTGCGCGTTAGGTAAATAAATGTGTTCCTAACTCTACACGATTTGTATAAGCTCAGCTATTTTATAAATAAAAACTAAGCTAAATTTAAATTAGGATATAGAAACTTGTAAGTTGGTACTATCGAGATCTATCAAAAAAATAATCGATTTTAATTTTGGTGCAAATTACAAAAATAACTTTCGACTACCTCCAGTGGTGCAAATTACAAATTTCTGATGTGAAAATCCACTTCATTTTTTGTATTAATTATTGCGAAAACAATTATTTCTTAATTATTTAATACCCCCCCTCCCAAATTAAATCATCCCTCTTAAATATAGTTTTTAGGTTCGCGTTGCTTGATTATCGTAATTTATAACAATCGTAATTTATAGAAAGTCCTATAAAAAACGATCCTAAAGTTGGTGCTATCATTGCGGCAAGAGAACAAGGAGGAAATAAATTCTACAGAGCTGAAGTTATTTCTAGAGTAGACAATGACAATTTTAATGTCTGTTTTATTGATTTTGGATATTGCGATACTGTACATAAAAGTAATATGGTACAGCCGTCCGAATCACAGGTAAAACGCCAGACATTATTATATTCATGTAAAATGTAAACAGAAATAACAATTTGATGTATTTATCGTTTTATCTAAACATGTTATTTCGTAGCTACAAAATTGTCCGCCTACGTTTATGGTCGGTTTACATGGACTAGATGCAGAACCTGCTAATGCCACAATATTGCACTACATAGAGGATATCAGCCAAACAGATACATTTATAATTGTTGGTTTATTACTTTATTTATTACCTATTTGGTTATATAAATTTAAGTACATTTTTTAACTAGGAATTTTTTTCTTTAGGACTCCATCACTGAACTAAACAAAGTTGTATTGATATCAGCCAATACACAATGCAATATAAATAAAGAAATAAAGAAACTTTTAGGCAACGGAAATATTGGACAACATATTAAAAACGGTGGAAACGCCAACGGTAGTAGGATTATCTGAGATCTCAGTATAATTTATATTATTAATATATGCTGTATTTTTGTTTTTAGACAAAGATACCGAAAAATGCGTAATAAAGTACCACAGACCGCCTTTGGATGTTGCTACTCAGGTTTGTTACTACCCTTAGGATACATTACAGTTAGTCTTATTATTATTTGACTTAATTTAATAAATAATCACTAGGTTTGGGTCGCCGACAAAATATCTCCTTCGAGGTACTCTGTACACACGAGCGACAGTCGCCTCGAATTCATACAATTGGAGAATCAAATGTTCGAAAACAGTAAAACGTTCGAATCTGTTAAATCTGTCAGTGTTAATATGCCGTGCATCGTGTACTTTAGTCCTAGTTGGTAAAATAAAAAATGTTGAGAATGTGTTTAACGTTTGTGCTACAAAAAAATCGATTTTCCAGGTATCGTGGAGTAGTTTTGGAGGTGATCGATAAAGTCACCGCAAAAGTTGGTCTTGTGGACGTTGGAAATTTCAGTGTCGTTCGCAGCATCAAAGAAATTTTCCGCATGCCGTCGAAATATAAAGGAAAATCACTGGTGAGTAAACGCATGCAGCTTATGTTTATTATTTTTATAATACCTAAAAAGTTCAAACCAATATAGTTTAACATTTCGTTGAACTTTTGGGTTGAAGGAACAATTAATATTAATTTCTGACTCTTAATATTAGGAAAATTATCTCTGGCCGTCGTGTCTTTATACAAAAGTATATAAATACCTGCGATTTTCTTACCCTATATCAGTATTACCTGTTTTATTCTCATTAATTGAATATAAAGTTTAATTAAATTAGTTGGACTCTCAAAAAACTGATTAGTTTGCAATAAGTTAAGTATACCGCTATAGGTATGAATGTGTGATCCCATAAACATGGGTACTCATAACGAAACACCCACGCTGTTTTAGTGTGGTCTATCATGATTCATGAGCTAGTGTAATATATAACATTGTCATGGTCGTTTACAGATTTCATTAGCCAATGTAACAAACAAAAAAATTTTTCCATAAAAAAATTGCAGTTATAGTTTTATAAAATCCGTATTTATATTTTATTATTATGAAAATATAAATTTTGATAGTAACTTTGAAAAAAAAAATATTAATTAATATCAACTACTATGTCTATACTTTATTTATATTGACTAAAGTCAACTTTTTTACCAGTCCTAGGATCTTAAATTGACTAGCTTTTGCAATATCCATTTCCATGGGCATTTTTTGAAAACGTTATTTATGTACCTAGGTACTTAGTTTATATTCCATTGTATAAGTCGATTTAAAATTCTTTAAATAGGCCTTTTATTAGAGTAGGTGCCACCTCCGTACGCGCGTCCAGAAACATTATTATGTTTAAAATCTAATCAAAGTTTTTAACTGGTTTAAATAATTTTTATTTCATTTCATTTTACAAAGTATGCATTAATAATTCCATTCATATTATAATATACGTGCTATGCATAACAGAAGACCTTATATACATAATAATAGACTTTTGTTGACGAAATCCTGTTCATTATTACAAAATCGATTCACTTCGTTTTTAAAAGCTAATACGTTTCACACACGCGAGCATGCATGTACATATAAATATGTTGAATAAAAAAATAATGGTGGTACTTGGTATTTGTCCCACTGGAATCTGACGTTTCAAAGTATAATATAATATTGTATAAATTAATTTTAAACATATGTTGTGTAGTGGGCCTCGCAGGTCACTGCGTATTACTTGTACATACGGTTATTTAACGACATAGAACTTTTAGGATATGAGGTCGACAAAATTTCTTAATTAAAAACAAAATAAATAATACAATAAATATTAAAAATTGTACTTTTAAAATACAAACATAAAATAAAAATGTCTAATAAATTGGAAGACGGAATAATTAAATTATTCATCCTGAGACTAGTTGCGTATCTTGATTATTAGGGCTGAGGACTTCTAGCACTTGTAAACTTGAAAATATCAAATATGTATACCAGCCGCGGAATAAGAAGATGGTCGCGCAGTCAAAACCACTTCCTAGTTCCTCCACGCACCGCTTATCTTTGCGACCACTTCCAGGGGTTTCGGGGAACCAATCAAAAACCGGCTGTGCGAAACGGACGTAAAACGGTCCGCCGCGCAGTCATCTTCTTATTCCTCGGCGGGTATATGTACTACAGTGGCGTACACAGCTATTTTCAATGGGGGGGGCTTACATATAAAAAAATTATATATATATATGTATCTAATATATAAAATTCTCGTGTCACAGTTTTCGTTGCCATACTCCTCCGAAATGGCTTGACAGATTTTGATGAAATTTTTTGTGCATATTCAGTAGGTATGATAATCGGCTAACATCTATTTTTCATACCCCTAAGTGATAAGGGTTGTCCAGAAAAAAATAAAAGAAGTGCTCAAACAGGGATTTTAATAATTTTCGGTAGAAATAATTGTTTATAAATGGTTGCTAAGGTATTGGTTATATATATAAAAAAAAAAATAATAGATACAACATCTTTTATAGGTATTTAAAAAGAAAAGAAAATAATTTCTTTTTATCATTATTATTATTTATATAACCATGGCAACCATTTACAAACAACAATTTCCATCTGAAATCTCAAAATTCCCGTTTGATTCCCGGGATTGGTCCTCTCCCTTTTTAAATTAGCCTATGTTTTAAGTTGGATCAAAATACACACAGTGTAACAATTTCATCAAGATCGGAACAGTTGTTTTTACGAATATTGAATAACGAATTGAACAAAGTTTGAGACATATTGAGTTGATACATTTAACGGGCGACGAAGTGCACGGGATCAGCTAGTATATATATATATATAATACATTGATGAATCAAAACGATGTATCTATAGTAATTATTTTGTACATAATGAGTAATCGGCTCATTAGCAATGACTTAAGGTGAAATTAAAAATATTTTTACAATTCTCGATTATTATTTAAAAAATATATACCTATTACCTACAGGTAATTATTTAGTATAACTACAAAGTTACACGCGTACATACAATATGTATATAATAATATATTATATACAATTCAATAAAAGATAGGTATAAAGAGAAATTTATTTTTACCATATTAATCATTTTTTTGTACCTAGGTCCTAGGTTGATAATATAATGTATTAAATATTTACCTGGTTCCTCCGAGTTAATTGTATCATAAATTAGTGAGTTAGAAAAATATTCGTTTATTCTTTTCATTTGTATTGTTTTATAAAATATTTAAACAGTAAGGACAATTTACTAAACGTCCAAAGCGTCAGAAATTTGATTGAAAACTGAGAAATAGATTCTATACTATAGTATTAGCGATACTGAGATAGCTATTAAGGCATATTATATCGGATTACACGATTGTCGACCCTCATGTTTGTGTTTGAACAAATTTCCCAATAATTTCATTAATTTGTAACAAGTTATCAATAATATCTACAATATATTATAACAACAAACTGGGTTGCTTATAAGTTATAATATAATGGAGTATAATTTGGAATATAATATTTTTTTAAATTGTCATCATTTTTACTATACATTTTTACGTTATTACGTAAACTGAAAAAATACTAAAGGGGGGGGTTTGAACACCCAAAACCCCCCCCCGTGTGTACGCCACTGATGTACTAATGCGCTAAAAAACAACAAAAATGCACTTAAAATACCTACTACTAACTTTTTTTTTTTATTAGATAAATAGAATATTTACAATCTGTAATTTTTATATATACAATAAGTAAATTGGGTAATGAAAGAAACAATAATAACATGAATGGCTTGAGGAGGAAGGCCCACCAGTGTGGGTACCCTCTAACTTGTGGTGAGGGATGTCATGGGGTGGACGAAATGGGAAGTGTAATTTTGTTAATTAGGGAAGTAAAAGCCAATAGAAGAGGGTTTAAAATACATTTTAAATCTTCTATAAATTTGTTGATGATGTGGAGAGGTTGATTGACTGATGAAGAGTTGGCTGTGGCTTTGGCATAAGATGTCGGTTTTTGATTTGAGTTGTAACTGTGGACGTTGAAGATTTGTGGTGCAACAGGTACAGCAGATGGTGGGCTGGGGTGTTTTTTCGGGTTTTCAACTTTGTCAGCTTTGTAAGCGACTTTGTAAATGGTGCGCTTTAGTAAATTTTTAAAAATTTGACGACCTTTGTAGTTGGCAGGGTGGTTACCGTCACAGTTGGCGCATTTAACGGGTTCTTCCCGTGTTTTAGTGCAATCTTCGGTGAGGTGGCTTAACCCACATTTCACGCAACGCGGAGGTATTGGTGGCAATAATTGCGTGTATGTGACATACAGTATGTCCATACATTTGACAAGAGTGACATTGGGGAGAACCAAGTGGCCTTATTGGATGCTCCAATTTCACAATTGAGTTAAACTACTAACTTTTGATTAAGAATGGATGTGGTTATCTATTATCTATATATATAAAATGACTTTCCCTAAGTGATTCATCATCGCCTAGCCAGAACTACTACTGAACGGATCTGGCTGAAATTTGGCATATTATTATTTAGCTATTATAACGTAGACGTCCGCTAAGAAAGGATTTTCGGAAATTCAATCCTTAAAGGGGAAAATAAAAGGTTGTAAGAATACAACAGTCATCAATCAATCTATCTATCAAGCAATATCTTAATTAAATACCTAGGTATACAATATTGGTTTTAAAATACAAAACGTACGAGCTTGATATTTGGAATATTTAGTGGTTCCTCTAATGATCTAGATAATATGCAATAAGAAAGGATTTTCTGATATTCGCTTTTTAAACATGTGGTAAAATAGGGATTTTAAGATTTACCGTGGAAATCAAAACTTTTTTTTTTGTTTATTAATAGTGTTGCCTTTGGTTGCATGTTATATATGTGAATTATTTCACCAAGCTAGGTACAATTAAACCAGTTTGTCCGTAAAAATAAAATAAAATAACCCCCCAAAATATATTAATATATAAGTATTAAATACTCCTAAAAATCCGGGATGATCAACTATGACTTCAATACTATTTTAGGTACTATGTTTACACATTTTTTCAACTACAAAGCTGTACTAATATATAGGCTATATTTTATCTCCCATCTTGCTGTTTCCGCAATCTACCGATTTCCTACCTGATAATAAACTGTTGGAATAACCATAAGCGAAACTCACGGGCAACGCCTCGTGGGATGGCTAAACATTAAAATATATGCATTTTCTTCCATACCTAAGAAATACACCTAAAAGGATTTAATTAATCACAATTATTTCCCCGGCAACGCCGGGTTATTTAGCTAGTTCGTATATAAAAATAAAGATACTGATTAATATAATTGTATTTATCTAATATATAATATGTGTGTTTTATTATTTTATACATACAAAAAAAACCTTTTTTCTTGTGGTAATCAGTTTCTAACACCTGATGCAGGAGCTACGATATTATTACTTTCACCTCAGTTGCATCGTTTATTGCATAATAATAACAAATAAAATTCGCTCTGCTGTACAGTAGTTTACAAGTGGGTCACT